CTTGGCCGCCATGCTGCAGCTCAGTTTCAGGGTTTTGGCAATCTTCTTATAGCCCAGGCCATCTTTATGTAGAGCAACAATTAATTTTTTTCAGATCCTCAGATAATTCATTACCATGAGGTGCCATGTGGAACTCCCAGTGACCAGTCTGAGAGAGTGAGAGCGATAACACCTGCTCCCCCTTCACACCAGAGACTCGTGATATTAACGGGTCTCATAACACCAGGGGGGGAAAACAGCTACTTGGACCCAGTTTGGACATTGTTACTTAGGGGTGTACTCACTTTTGTTGCCAGCGGTTTAGACATTAATGGCTGTGTGTTGCGTTATTTTGAGTGGACAGCACATTTACACTGTTATACAAGCTGTAGACTCACTGCTTTACATTGTAGCAAGTGTCATTTCTTTAGTGTTGTCACATGAAAAGATATACTAAAATATTTATGAAATGTGAGGAGGTGTACTCACTTCTGTGATATACTGTATATTGTGTTATCAGATTTGTGGGTTGCGATTAGCAGTTTTGACAACAAGCAAGTCAGAAATTCCAATCAGCTGATAACTTTCAAATATTGCCCAGGCCACTGTGGATGTGCTACCCAATCCAGTTGATTAGTGATATCCAATGAAAATTACCAGAGGCTGACCAGAGAACATAAAGTGGAAGATGATTTATTTTTCAGAGCGATTCCACCCCTACCCACCCTCCAGACACATTAACAGTGTGAGTGAGTGGGAAAATAGCTGTACTTAGCAGGAACCATGCACCAGCTCAGGAAACTAGAGCTACTAACGGACTGAGCTGTGGAATAAAGAGGGATGCTTGACAGGCTGTCCTGGAAGGCTCTTGCCTCAGCCGTGTATCAGGGAAGCTGCTCAAGAGTCCTAGAGCTAAGCACTGCCAGGAAGGGAAAACAACAAAGGGAAGGTTTCTAGGCAACCGTAAATTCTGTAGCAATAGGCTATTAGCCCTTTCTGCTCAGCTGCATACATCAATCATGCCCGCATCCCAGGAGGGTAGAAGCTAGGGGCAACCCATGTATATTCAATGTTTCTCTCTGGCAAAATATTTACCTGCTAAAATGTCACCTTCTTCTTTGATCTGCAGCCCATAGAGAGTATGAGTCTGGTTCTCTGTACTCAAAGCCAGACATGCCGTAGAAGTCAGCTTTCCACCTGCTTTGTTAGAGAAAGACCAAGTGTTCCAGAGCAATTTTGCTCAGTCTCATGGTCTGGCATATTTGAGGCATGGAGAAAAAAAACACTGTATGTTGGGCAGACGTAAAGCTTGCAAAGGCCGCGGGTCACGAGGATGATCCCTGGTGTTTCCTGATGGTCTTCCCTCTATGTATTAAGTAGATCTGACTTTGCTTGGTAATCAGACTGTTTCTGTCATCTACCACAGCAAAAGTGTTCAGGAATTGGGGTATTGATTTATTGATTTACAGCCCATCTGACTGCAAAGGCCACTCTGGGTGGTTTACAAGATAAAACAATAATCTGTCACATTAATTTATAATGACATACTATCATAATTATAAAGAAAGAATAAGCATATACTAAGCCTTGTACTAAATATTATAACTAAGCATTAGACTAAACATTAGACTACAGCTGTGCCTCCACATGACTCTCCCCACTAAAATATTTCTATGTATGGATCATAATTATATCGTCTCATTTTTCCATGAAGGGCCTTCCCATTTCTGGCTTCACTACCTGCCAAATCTGGGACCAACCAAGAACATCTGGTGGACCACTGTGGCAGCAGAATGCTGATCTAGATAGGCCTTTTTGGACATTCATGATTCTTGAGCTGTATCTTTTGTACATAAGTATTGGTGAGATTTCACAAACAATATCTTTTGTGGTGTACAGCTGAGATGTTTTAAAGGAAAGAGAAAAATAGGAAGTCCATATGGTTCAAGTCTTGAGAACAGTAGTGCTAAGACTAATATGTTCTGTTCATTCTGATAGTTTAAAAATGCCCCCAACTTCCAACATGTTCCCCCCACCCCAAAAGTAATGGATTAAAGTGGCATGAAAGGTTTTTATTCAGCCTATTAACATTGTTTTCATTGAGTGGTTTAAATACAATCATTGTTTGCAAATTTAACAAATGAAGGGTAACAAATCAATGGGCAAACAAATTAGCATGTTAGAATTATAAAGGTGTGAATCCCTTTTGCATGTTCCATTTCTAGCAAATACTGAAAGCATTTCAGTGCTCATGTAAGACAATAAAGGCAACGAAATAGGAAAGAACTCTGTTTAAAGAGTTGAAGGGCAAAGGTACTGAATCCATTACCAAACCAGAAGCACGCATATATACCAAATGCTGAAAATATAGTGTGTCATACAGTGGACCCTCTACTTACAGAATTAATCCGTATTGGAACGGTGGCTGCAGGTCGAAAAGTCTGTAGGTCGAGTCTCCATTGACCTACAATGCATTGAAAACCGATTAATCCTGTAACCGGCCGTTTTTGTTCCGGTTTTGTTCCATTTTGGTTTTTTTTTTGGGGGGGGGTTGTAGGTCGATTCTCTGGCTGCAAATCGAACCTAAATTTTGCGGCCAGAGAAGTCTGTAACTCAAAAAGTCTTTAAGTCGAGCCGTCTGTAAGTTGAGGGTCCACTGTACAATGTAATAAAGGGCCCAGAAAAAGTGAGCTGGGAAATCACTGATTGGAACTCTTCATGGGTTTCTTTTCATGTTAATTGCAGCCAGGGGAGAGGGGAAAGTGACTCAGAACCAGGGCTCTGGGAACGGAAGGGTTACCCTTTACCACTACCTCTTGCCCAAACCAAATTCCCCTTTCCAAGGAAGCAGCTGTTTGTATGTTAACTGCTGAGCAGTGTGCGTGTCTTTAGGTCAGGAAAATGATACAGGAGGAAGGCCAAACCTGGCTTTCTCAAGTGCCATGGCCCCAATCCAAAGGCCATCTCCCTGTACGGGCTGATATTTAAATACATTGAAAGCATCACAAGATCTATGCCTCACCTCATTTGGCCTTCAAAATGGACTTAGTCGCTGGAAAAAAAATCTATTTAATCAAGAATTTCAACGGTTGGGAAGCAGTTACATTACTGCAAGTTTCATCTGACACCAGTTCTTCTTTCTGTAACAGAAAACAAATTTTCATTATAGAGCTGGGGCTCATTAGCCTTGTCACCAGCTGCTGCTACTCTCCTCACTCCACTTGATGCAAATCTGAGATAGACACTTTGCTCTGTTTAGGATATTGGCTTCCTGTTGGCCTCTCCCTACACCCCATTTGTCAGCCTTATCCTTTGTCCCGCCCCCATCTTCCAAGTAAGGTGAATTCAGTGGATAATCTATCAAGGGAGTGAATGTCAAGACTCGCTAAGCAGGTTGTCTGTGAAGCCCTACTGCGTAGTGAGGAGATGCCTGTTCTTGAGCAGCTGGGTGTTGGTGTATAATGAAATTCTTATGGCTTGGGTGGATAACCTGTTTACAGACGAGTTAAAAATACACAAGATTACAAATACATAATATTAAACTGGCATTTGATCTGAATGCATCCAACAAAGGTCATTCGAATCCACAAAAAAGCGTATTATGGCACAATATGTGGATTAGTGTGAGAGACACTGCAAGCCTTCTTGTTGTCTTTTGTGGCAATGTTTCAAAGCTGGTCCTATCATTAGCCAGAGTAAGGCAACCACCTCAGGTGGCTGATGCTAGGAATGATCCCTTCCTCCATTCCTTCTTTGTTCTCCAGTTTTTCCTCTCTGTTGGGGGACCAAGCTGTTTGTGTTGCATGGCCTGTCCTACATGTACCACTTCCCTCCAAACCCATGACAGACAGGTAACATCAGTGCTGTATGTAACACCGCCACCAGGGGCAGGACAAAAAGCACCACCACCATGTGCCACCCCCCACCCAACAAAAGATGTAGCCAGCAATGTTGGCACTTGGGGCAGACATCCCTCTCACACGTACTCAGTCCTGAAGCATTCATGTGAGCACCCCACCACCACCACCACCACAAGAAGCAGGAGGAGAATGTACAGTAGTTCTGCCTCCTAGGACATTTACACTTTCAAAGAATGAAAAATAAATAAGGCTTGGAGGTATTGCCTTTTTCCCTGCAAGAGTCACCAGTAAATTCATTTCTCGATTTCAGCATCCTAGTCCTCGTTCCAGCCCTGCCCACAACAGGAGGAGGAGGAGGAAGCCAGCAGATGCCTTTCTCCTTACTGCTATGGCCCAATTGCAGGGGGAAAAGTATTTTCCTTAGGGAAAAGTACTATAGAAAGGGTACACACACCACTTTTTGCTTTTTTTGGGGGGGCGGATTGTTTTTTCACCCATCCTGCCCCAAGATGCCTTGGCCCTAAGAACTCCTGAGGCCAGGGCAGTATTCACACAGCCAGCCAAAGCGCAGCCAAAGTATGCAAATGGCTAGCAGTGGGGGGGGGAAGAGACTCGTGGCAGTGGTGGCTGGCTGGCTCATGTAGCAGAGGGTGGGGTGGGGGTGGAGTCCACTCAGCTTTTGGATGCAGAACAGAAGGGGCCACCCCTTCATGGCAGGCATCAAAATGTTTTGGGCCAGCCTTGCCGACAATCCCCATCCTGCTGCCAAGGGGAGAGGCAGCGTATTCTACAGTAGAGAGCAGTAAAGGAGGAGGAGGAGGAAGAAGAAGATGTGGGGTTGATACATCGCTTGGAAAAGTCACTCTCCAGCGGCCGTGCCGTCTCAGGTTTCTAGGAGCTGTAGTCCAAAAAAGCAACTTTTTCAAGTTTTAGGCTAGTGCATCTGAAATAAAAGGCAAAAGACTATTGAGAACCAGCCGAGGAAATGGAATAGAAGTCCCAAGATCCCGTGACAGTGGCAGTATCTTTGTTTAAACTAGCAGCTGTTCATTCCTTCTACCTCACCTTAGGGCAACAGTGCCTCATTTACTTACAACCACATCCTGACTGAAAAAAGCAGAACATATCACCACCCTGCCCCAGTCATGGTTTTCCTGTCAGTCCGAGAGAACATAAAACTGTTTACTCAAACCCTGCTGACTGATGAGGGGTGCCTGACGGAAGACGGATGATGATTTCATATTGCCCTATGTGTGGAAAACCAGTCTACTTTGGTACGTTCATTTGTCCCAGAACTGTATTAAAGCTTTTGATCTGATGGCTGAAATCCAGTATCAGTGGACTTTACATAGGTGTTGACTCACCAAATTCCCACAGGTTTCATAGGCCTGCTCTAACTGTGACTTTAAGTACTGGATTTCAGCCAATGAATTCCTATGGGGAGGCTGGACATTAAGGATTGCTCAAGGGTGTTAATGGCAATGATAAGTCTGAAAGCTTGTTGTAAAAAGACAAGTACGGTAGAGAAATGCCTGTTATTAGGAAAATGTAGGTTCTCATATTTCCCTTGCTTTCCAGGTTGCTGCTCGGGGGGTGGGAGTGGTACAGAATGTTCCTTAGTTTTGGTACAATTTCTGATAAACGAAAGGGATGCAGGAAAGATTTGGCATGTCTTCTTATATTTCAGTAAAAGTGGGACTTTTTTCTTTTTGGGCTTTGCCACATTCCCTTTGTCAACATTCTTTCCGGTGCTTGAAGTGAGACATTTCTGCGCAGAAGAAAAGAACGACTTCCTCATAACTGCCTCATTAATTTCCGAGCTGTAAGCTGTTTCAACTGAACTTTCCCAATTATTTGACTTATGTTTTCCCGTAAAGGATGTACATCTGATCCCTATCTCGAAATGTTCAGTGTTGCTTTCATGGTTTCAAAAAAATAGTCTTCTTCCAAAGGCCCTCCCTTCCCATGCACTTGGAATTGTTCCTTTCTAGTTTATTTAAGGGACACCCTTACAATTCCTGCATCTCTTATATTCTGACTGCTATGCTGAATTCTTCCACTGATGTCAAGAGAAAACCTGAACAATTGTGCAGCTTATTCTTTTCTGAAAGTTATTAGCTTTTGTTTAAAATAATTTAAAAAGCTGCATCCAATTCTAGCCATGAACAAGATTTTTTAAAAAAAAGGTTTTGCAAGACAAGCTCCTTCTTGTTCTACCAGGCAGTCAGAAAGCCTCCAGTTGTGCTTTGACAAATGTACCTGTCTCATAATTGTATGAAGCTGTTGATCTCACATAGGCTAGATGTTAAGGGAGATGCTTCCAGCTCTAGTAACCATGCCGAGCCTGCAATGAAGATGTCTAAAGAAGTGGGGTACTGCACCACACTTTCTTGAGTTGCAACTGTAGTTATTCTGCCAAGGATCCATTATCTGTGCGGGTTGAGGAAAGTGAGGAAGGCAAGGAGGGAACAAGAGGAAGGATCTGTGGGTCACTCTCTGTTTTTCCTTCTTCCCTTTTTATGGCTCTTAGCTGCAGTGGACTAAACAGTAAACTGAATTGATGGATCTGCCAAGTTCTGTTAGGCTATATGGGGAGAATTTGGCCAGTGCAGAAACTAATTCCTAGTAAACAAACAAATGAACTACTAAGCTATATTGGGAGAAGTACCCAGTGTAGTGTAGTGTAGTGAGTAGAGTGATGGACTAGGACTTTGGAGACCAGGGTTCAAATCCTCACTTGGCCATGGGAACTCATTGGAGAAATAAAGAGTAAATACCAGGGTTCAAATCGTCACTTGGCCATGGGAACTCGTTGGAGGAGTAAAGAGTAAAGAAACCTTCTTTACTATATTACTAAGAAACCTTTACTATATTACTAAGAAACCTTCTTTACTATATTCGCCTTTGCGAATATAGTAAAGAAACTCGCTGGGAGAGTAAGTAACCCATTCTTAAATATCTCAGTTACCTTGAAAGCCCTATTAGGATCACTATAGGTCAGTTTCAACTTGATGGCACCTAACAACAAAATGCACCTTATAGAGATGTGATAAAGGGTAGAAAAATAAAATCCACTTTTGGTAATCTGTGCTCAGGTCACTGACAGATTATTACTGCGATGCATTTTATGTGGGACTGCCCATGGAGATTGTATGGAAGCGTCAACTAATGTGGAATTTGACTATTAGGATTCCAGATAGCTGACGTAACTGGCATGGGAGAAGGGAGATTATTGCCTCCCCCCAATTCTAAATTTATTATATTAAGACACATCCAACAGAATCCTACTGGTATGCTTCAAGAGTTGCTGTAGGTTGGTTCTGACTTGACAGGACATAACAAGCTATAAGATGGAAGAGAAGACTCGGAATCATGAGTTCAGGTCTGTAAAAATCTGGGTAATCCATGGTATGCCTCCCAGGACAAACTTAACACAAACTCATGAGTCACTGCAGGCCTCCAGGGATGCTTACTGGGGTCTGCGGATATACTTAGAAATTGGTTTGTTTGAACTGAAGGAGTGTGACCTAGACGCTGGCTGAAGTGACATTTAGCACACTCCTCGCTTTTGAGATCGGTGATGATTTTCCTTTGTGGGAAAGCTGCCACACAGATGGGGTAGAAAGGAAGCTCCTGCTACACTCTCCATGTTCCAGTCATATTCTAGAACAAAATTAAGTGGTCTTTACTGCTTGCTTTTCTCTGCGAATGACATCTGCAAGAGAAGAGGTATTTCCACATGCACCTGGATTTAATTCCAACAAGCTAAGTAAGACTGTCCAGGTGGTACAGTGAGGTAAAAACCCTTCCAAATGATTATTTTTAGCTCAACATATGCACATATGCTCATTTATTGTTCAGGACCCACCTCATTCCTCAGAAGAAGGCCTTTCTCTTCTGATGAGGGTCCCACTTTGAGTGAGATCATTAGGTTTACTGAAACATATTTAAATTATTTGGATGTTTCTGTGCAGGGCAGTGGTTCCCAACCTTGAGTCTCCCGATATTTTTGCACTGCAACTCCCAGAAATCCTGGCTAGCACAGCTAGTGGTGGAGGCTTCTGGGAGTTTTAGTCCAAGAGTATCTGGGGACCCAAGATTGGGAACCACTGCTCATGGGGGGGGCGACCCTCTAGTTCATGGAGCCTTTGTTCCTAAGTCATTTTGGACTACAGTCCCTGCATTTATTTCCTGTTGGAGCTCTTGGCTGGGATTTCTGGGCAATGAAGTCCAAACACCTGAAAGGTGAATCATTTCCCACTCCTTTGACCTTGAAAAACTGTTCTTGAAAGTTTGCTTCAAGCTTAATTTTGATAATGTCAGTTTTCTCCAGCCTCAGGTTACAACAGGAAAAGTGTAGCTACTATAAGAGTGAACAGATCACAAGCGGAGGAAGGCTTCTGAGATGAGACCAAGGATGGCAAGTAGCTTGTATTGGGGGGTGTCAGTCCTATTGTTAAGCAATGCCAGTTGGTGACCTCATGCACCAGACTGTGTCTACCTTGAAAGGGCAGGACATGTTTCATTATTTAATTTATTATCATTGTATTTCTATTGCTGAGAGGAAAGGAGGTAGTTATAAGATTTTCTGCTTTTGATGCTGAACTTCCTTAACTGGCCTCTTGCCTATTATGTTTTTTGATGTTTTATATTAAGACACATCATTTGCGGCTCTGCCTCAAGCAGCAAAACTCTTTTGGCCAGCTATGTTCTTTAGGGCCACAAGTTGCCAACTCCTGTTTTAAACCCTTCTAGATCTGAGCCAGGAAGATAAATCCCCAGACAGCTATAAAGCTTCCTGAGTGATCTTACTATATGATTCCTAGATGATTTATTTGTTCTCCTTCCAGAAGGATGCTACACCACGCTCTGCATCCCTGTATTAGTTGGGTGTTTTTGCATTACTTTGGGCCATATGATTGAGCCACAGTTTGTCTTGGTTTCCCTCCCAGCTACCACATTGTTTTCTGTGGCTGCCAGACTTTTTTTTTCAAATAGCAATTTAAAAAAAAAAAGATTAGAAATCTTTGTAGGGATGCAGCAGCCAGCATTCTCTTGTGTGTATGATCAAACCACTTAGATCTGTTGCATGTCTAGGCATGTATGATGTGAAAACATGGCTGTGGCTCTTTTTTCCAATACTTCCTTTTATCAGTGCTTTTTCATTCCATGCAGCTAGTACTTCCAGGGGCTAGTGAAGTTAGCATCTCTTTACACAGCCCCCTTCTTTTCCCTACACACTGAATGGTTCAATAACCATGAAGAACAACAACATTATTGTTTGTGTATCTCCTTGCAAGGAAAGGTCTGAGCGTACTGCATGGGTAGACTGCCAAGTGCCCCTTTCTCCAAAGGGGAGAGTGTTGTGGCTTTGTGAGCTGCCAAACTCTTTGGGGGAGGATTCCCAAGCACACATGTAGGACCAAGTAGTTGCCTTCCTGGTTCTGATGTTGTTGTGATATCATGGTGCCATGCCATGGTTTCAAAGATTAATGAAAAATGGGGGAGAGGTGTGAACTATCAGCTTCTTCAACAGGCTGCCGATTTCTTGATTTCCTACGGCAGTAGTTCCCAACCTCAGGTCCCCAGATATTCTTGGACTAAAATTCCCAGAGGCCTTCACCATTAGCTGTGCTAGCCAGGATTTCTGGGGGTTGTAGTCCAAGAACATCTGAAGACCCAAGTTTGGAGATCACTATCCTACCATATCCCTTCCCCCATGATACGTCTGTGATCCCATTCTTGACAGTCCATTTGATCCTTTAATGGGTGGTTGATGCTTTCCATTTGCCACCATCATGCTATCCTGGGGTGACACCAGGACACCAGGCAGCCATGATTCATTTAAAAGAAGGCTGCAATATGTCAGCATGTTTTAAAGCTGCAATGTAGTAATTTACCTAGAGTTTTTAACTGGCTGTCAACATATGAGGACTGTATGGGAAGATTCACACAGTTGTATAAATGTATGGAAAATGATTTCCCCACTGGGTTGTATATACGTGTTTCCAGTGCTACTTCCTATTCACCCCCATTTTTATCTCTCTCCCTCACCCCACAATTCTCCATGTATCACAATGAGGACTGCGGGTGGGAAAAGCTGTGTGGGTACTAAAGAACAGTAAGATGGGACATATCTAATGGCATGAATGTAGAGAGGGGGGTGAAAGGATTATGGAATGCAGTGATGGGATGAGGTGTAGATTGGTGGTGACCCTATAATTTGCAGAAAGGTGCAGAATGATCAGAGCAACAGAGCTACTGAAATGAATAA